AAAAGGCTGTAAATAATCATATGGTGCAATATACATTATAAATCTCACTGATTATCTTTCCACACCTGATGTTTTATGGAAAACACATACAGTATTGTAATATAATAATGAACAGTAACAATTAGTTATTAAAAATCTATAAAAATGAATCATTCCGACAAAGCATCCCCTTTGAAAAAATATTTAAATTTAAGTGATTTCAATGCACCTCGGTTGAAATTTACCWCATATCATTGTGTTGTGTCCATACAAAAATTAAGAAAAGATCTATTAATGTGTAATAGCAGCACTTTGATTACACTTGGCAATAGAAACAAGTCAAAAGAAAATTCTCAGTACAAGTATCAATAATCTTGTTCCTATGAAATAGACAAACATAAAAATAACAAATTAAGTTATAACCTGATTCAAGGCTAGTCCTGCATATACTGGGATTTTGGATACTAACTATTATTTATCTACTTGGAGTGCTTGTCAAATAAGCTTTCTTGACAGCCCATTTCACAGCATTTGTAGGCATTTGTCTCGCTGAGTAATCAGCATGTTGTGTTCTCTCAATTTGGACCCCCCTAACACTTGCTTTGTAAAAATTATCAAGAACCTCCTTGATATTTGTTAGCTGTGGGCTTTGCCATCGCAGACGTTTTGTTTGGAAAACCTTTTTCCTCTTTCCATTTTCATCTTCTTCATCTGCGCTCTCGTCAGAACTGGTATATTCTTTGCAGAGTGTCTCTTCAATTCTTTCTTTAATCTTGTCAGTCCACTGGTCTATGTTCTTTAAGGCCAGCGACCTTCTTTCAATTTTCTGTAAAAGACAATGGGTGAAACCTTTTAGCGTCCTGTAGTAACCCTTAAATAAATGACGTTTTTTAATTACCTCTTTTACACGCCCTAGTCGTCGGCATTGAACACCATGGTCAATATCTGGGTTCCGCTTGGAATCATCTTTTAATGTCCTGAAGTAGGTGAACAATGATTCTGAAAATCATAAATATAACAACAATTATTATTATTATGTCAGTTGTATCAAGTGTCACTTGTGATGCAAATTTATTGAAATTTAAAAATGWTTGCAGTGGGGACTTGTCTGTGTTTATAAAGGTCATCTTCAGTTAAACAAAAACCATACCAGCAGCTAAAAAATAACAATTGCATCTATAATTCTGTATGTTTCAAAAAACTCAAAGTCCAAAACTGTTTGAAAATCTATTTTATACTCTTACCTCTCATTTGGTTATTGGTCCAACTGCAGTTTTCCCCACCATTATCAAGCCTAACTTCCTCTGTAACTTTCAACACAACTTGGTTATTTCTACTTGACCATTTCCTGTAAATTTAAAGCAACGTTTTAAGACATCCTATGCTTACTAATTCCTTTCGAAATGATGTCAACAAAAAATCAATAAAGACATATTACACTGTACATAATATAAATGGTTGAATAAAATTGTGCAATTTCATTGACTTAAAGGAGTGATATTTATCTTTAATAGTGGTATTTCAAATTGCACAKTATTAATCAACTATTTTATAAACAAATAATAGCATGTTTTGTAAGTTGAATTTGTGATAAATACATCAAAATTGTCACAATTGTTTGACAATTGTGAAATATCATGCGTGGTGTTTATCCCAAATACCACTACAAAACAAGCTATTACCTATACATATACAATAGCCAAATCATAACCCTTTGATCCCTTTAACTCACTTTCTTACTTACCCTTCAGATAAGTCGAAACCTGAGATTTTCTTCGATTTCAATAAAGTCTTGTACATGTTGCGGCATTTCGTCTGTCATCAAAAAATATATAAGTWTAGGCTAAGTGCTTAAACAGAACTAAAATATCTATCAATGTTGTAAAAATCTACTTTTACTGTCTTTCCATCACGTAACAGCTATGTCACGCAACATAACAGGACCACGTGTGTAGAACAATGCGTATGCTTTCTGCATCGCTAGTTACGAGCGCTTGGAAACCACAGCTGATATACGCACAACTAAGTTGTCCTTATACGTCAAAAAATTGCTTAATGCTTATAAAAATCGGCATCTTAATCAACTTTAATTCTTTCAAATATCGATAAACACTGTTTTGGTATGTGATATTATCCGTATATCTCAAAATATGTGCCTCTTTTGAATGCCACGAGGTTTCACACCTTCGCCATGATTCGTCTCACTACAAATATCAACTTAAATTAATATCCACTTACCCTACAAAGTCTAGGCACAACAACTTTACTTCTTCCGCGTCCCCTTTGGCCTTTTGACGAAGGTTCCTTCACTTCTCCYATCAACTCGTTGAMTGTGCGACTCAAGTCTTGCAGAAGCCTGCGTGTTGCTTCGTCTCTCTCTTTGAGCTCTGATCTGAGAGTCTTGCTTTCTCTTAGAGAATCTTCCAAGAGTTCTGCGTATTCGTCGCTGATATTTAGTTCGGCGGAGCCCATAACTTATACAATTCAAACAAATTCTCGAAACAACTACCGTCRACAACTATAGAATCGAAGAGGCAATGGTGATGAATGTCACGGAATTTTAGACCTGGACATATCCGGGATATCAGTAATGAACGTTCGTGATTGGCTAATTTGTATTATGTAGCTTTTGTCTGCTCTGATCACGCACATTTCTTTTGTTTTTTTATTGGCTTAGCACGTGAGTCACGTAGGCCTCACGTGTACGTGGTGTCAAATACTTTCCAGTCGCGTTCGTCCAGAACCAGAGAAACTCTGTGTTGTAGAAATAGTAAATTGGTGAATGCCCGCCCGTGGTTTTGAGTTACGAAAGTTATTTGAAACCTGGCAATGCCATGGTCTACTGCGAACATTGTGATGAAGATGTAAATCGATCAACGTATTACAGACATAAAAGATTGAGGACTAAAGTAGTGGAACTGCAACGAAATAGCCTTCCCTTTAAAGTTTGCAAAGAAAATGTCGACCTACATGAAAATCTTTTTGATACAGGTAAATAATCTTCTTTGTCTTACTTGTTTTTCTATAAATGTTGCTCGAATTGTAAATAACTCTTGCTGCCCTGTATTATTTATTGCGACGTTGCCATGACAACACCTTTTTTCCTTGTTACTGTAAACATATTATTATCATGGCATTTTAACACTAAATTTTTAAACTTTTAGAAAATGTCAGGAATGATAATCAAGACTTTAGTCTCTCCAAACTGAAAGATAGTGAAACCAGGAATGATTTTGGTAAGTTTTATCTTCTTTATAATAAATATTAGACCGTGGACAAGGGAGCACGGCAAAATGTTTTTTCTTTTGTTTTCGAGTTTCTTTTACGATTATCTGCTAGCTTGTTTGGATGCAGCTGCAATTATCGTAAATCTCGTACCCAGCGCACCTGTCGCTCTTACTTCGCAAGCTCGACGAAAGGTTACGCGGGCTCTGGGTACGAGATTGGGATTAACGTGAAACCAATCTCGAGCCCAGAGTCTTCACGGCTAAAGTCAGCGGTATGCTGACGCCGTGGAGGAATCAATCTCGAGCCCAGAGTCTTCACGGCTAATGTCACGCAGTCATCCGCTGGATGGCAAAAGTGTGGGCTCTGGGCACGAGATTGTGGAGGAATCGACTGGATTTGCGACGCTTTTCCGTCGCAAATTATGCAAATGAGGTCAATTTTGTTTTCTGCTTTTAGAGCATTAAAATGATAAAAAAGAAGAAGGTTTAGCACACAACTTATTTAGGAACGGCATTCACACCTTTTTTAAAACACAAATGTGTGAAAACACGTGTGTTTATGCGATAAAAGTATGATTTTCTTGACTAACAAGTCGAGCGCGCGCTGGCGACTTTAAAATACCGACTTGAAAACAATGCGCGCTCGCGTCATTTTCAACCAATAAGAAATCGAGAAATAACGCATTCCCCCCAGAGTCTCTCACGCATTGACTTCCGCTGGATAGCAAAAGTGCGGGCTCTGGGTACGAGATTGACGTGAAACAACATCCAAACAGGTCAGCGGATAATCGTAAAAGAACATCGAAACAGAAGAAAAAATACATTATGCCTTGCTGCCTTGCTGTTAAAAGTCCCTCTTCTTGCACAATTATTATGTTTTTTTTAAATAATTTTTAACCAATTATGTAACCAATGTATTTATGCCTGCATTTTGATTTATAATTAATATATCTTATAATATCTGCAGTAGAGAGGCCTGTTCATCATAAGGAAAGATCGCATCAGGACAATGGCCTGGATACTCAGGATGGCTATTCTTCATTGAGTGATGTAAGTAAAATTTGATAAGTTCATGCATCAACAAATAACACTATATTTCTATCTAATTAGCATATGGGAACACTTCAGTTTTATTGGTCTATATCTTTATCTGGTTTCATTGTATGTAATTTTAAGTACTCGTCAATTCTGATTGGGAGGTTTTATTAAAACGGCCCTGGTTTATCTCTAGTGTAATTTGTTCCTTGTGACTGCTGATCAATACATTTTACTGAATATGAAAAATTGATATCTTCTTAAACAGTATGCAAGTGAGGACAGTGATGAAGAAACACATGTGCATGRCCACCATGAAGATGACAGTCCTGAAGTTTGGGAGAGTGTCACTGAAGAACAACTCATGTCGGATTTRACTTGTGACAATAGTCCTTGCCCTGAGCCAGTTCAGTCCAAAGATTCTAATCTTCAAAAAGTTACCAATCTGTTAAAATGGTTTGTTTATTTTATGCTTTTGTGGCAATCATTTTGTAAAGTTAGTGATAACGGTTTAGAGTGGCTGCTTCATTTTAATTGCCAATTTCTTAAAGTTTTAGCTAATATTTCTGGAAATTCATTTCTTAACCAAGTAGTTATTGGTTTTCCTACRTCCATTTATTTACTGCGTAAATTAGCTGGCCTTGATCGGGATACTTTTAAGAAGTATGCAGTATGTACTAATTGTTCAAAGTTATATAATATGGAAGATTGTACTGAAATGAATCATAATGGTAAAAGAGTAATAAGATTTTGCCAGAATAAGAAGTTTTCTAGGGCAAGGAAAGAATGTGGAGCCCCACTCTCTAAGAGAGTCATTCTTGATGGGAACAGAGAGGAGTTTTATCCTTTGAAAATATATTGCTTTAATGGAATAATTAACAAACTTGAGGAGATGTTATGCAGGAAAGGGTTTCCACAGGATTGTGAGAAATGGAGGGAGCTGAAAAGAAGAGAAGGCTATTTATCTSATGTCATAGATGGGAAGATATGGGATGAGTTTATTGGTGAAAGGAATGAGAAGTTCCTAAGTAGCAAAAGAAATTATATGTTCATGTTGAATTTTGATTTCTTTCAACCACTTAAACACCGCAGTGACTATTCGGTTGGCGTGTTGTATCTAGCTAACCTTAATCTTCCCAGGAATATTCGCTTCAAATGGGAAAACATTATTGTGGCAGGAATAATTCCTGATCTGGAAAATGGCAAAGTTGATCTTAATGAATTTTTGCATCCTCTGGTTAAAGAATTCAGAGCATTATGGTTAGGAGTCTATTTAAAAACATCCTTAAGTAGAGTTCCACTGAAATGTAGGGCAGCATTAGTCTGTATCGCATGTGATATTCCTGCAGCTCGTAAACTATGCGGCTTTAAGAGCCATAACTCAAACTATGGATGTTCAAAGTGTTATAAGTTTTTTCCTGGAAATGTGAAAGACTCCTTTGATTATTCAGGCTTTCTGAGAACCAGTTGGCCAAATAGGGACATAGATAAGCACCGGAAGTTTGCAAAAGAGATGAAAAAAGCCAGGAATAAGACAGAATATCAAAGGCTGTCAATGAAGTATGGGATGTATTATAGTGCATTGCTCGAGTTAGAATATTTTGACGTCATTAGGTTTACTGTTGTTGACMCTATGCACAACTTGTTTCTTGGCACTGCAAAGTCTATGTATAAAATTTGGGTTGAAAGTGGTTTGCTATCCTCTGGCGACCTCAAGGTCATTGAGCAGAAAATTAAGGATTTTGATGTTGGAGCAGGACTTGGTCGCCTACCTCACAACATTTCATCCAATTCTGGATGTTACACTGCAGCCCAGTGGAAGAACTGGACCCTAGTTTATTCTTTGTATGTTTTAAGTGGTATCTTACCAGAACAGCACATGCAATGCTGGCAGGCTTTTGTTTTAGCATGTAAGTTTCTCACTAGACCTGTCATCTCTAAACTGGACCTTGAAAAAGCTGATATGATGCTTATACAGTTCTGCCAAAAGTTTGAGAAACTTTATGGAAAACACAGGGTAACTCCCAACATGCATTTACATGCTCATTTGAAGGAATGTGTTCTGGACTATGGGCCTATCTATAATTTTTGGTGTTTTAGTTTCGAACGCTATAATGGCATTTTGAGTAGTTTTACTATAAACAATAGGTCCATYGAAGTTCAACTTATGCGAAAGATTGTCTCTGATCGCTTTTTATCCTGTGTATCATTCCCATCTGAATTTGAGGATGTTTTCCTTTCAACTGTGAAAATGCAAACATCGGATGTAAATGATTATGTTGAACTTGGAATTAGTCTCACACATGCCTCCCTGTCTGAKAATATTTGTGAAGTCRACTGGCAGTCTCTTGAAAAAGACATCAATCTGCCAAATGTATACAAAATTGTCACTCTTGATGATGATGATGTTCATTGTCTCTCCATGGTTTATAAGGCCATGTATAATWCTGATGTGCATGTAGATCAAAATTTCTCTCAGACCGTCCGCCTTTATGGACACATAGCACTAGCAAATGAAAGGTTTGGCTCAAGGAAAGAGGCACGGCATGCAAAGTCTGCCAGAGTGATTGCCTCTTGGAGCAACAATCATGGCCAGATGTCTTTTGACACACATCATGACCGCCCAGGCTTTATCAACCATTATATCAGGCATGTTGCACAAATTAATGGATCCTTTAAAGAACATGTCTTTGCTGTTGTTGACTGGTGCCAGGATAGCACAGAAAAGTGTGTTTATGGTAAACCTGTCGAGGTGTGGGGCTCTGGTTTTGTAGATGGAGGACCATCAAGATTTTTGCCTTTGCCTAGAATTAAGTCTAAGTTTGTCATAGCTTCATTAACAARCCAGCAAATGGTAATTGTACCATYGAATAGGACATATTCTTTCTGAAAAGGAAAAAAATACTAATATACAGTCATCGGATTGGCTGAATTGAACATGGCTTAAATAACATAACCTCTATTGTGTTTAAGTGTTATTTATTTTAACAAAAAAGTAAAGTGTATAAAAGTTTAAGAAAGGAAATAAAAGGATTTGTACATTAACGTTTGACTTTATTCTTTATACTTATAGTCCTTGTGATTATATACTGGTATTAATTTGTAAATTGCACAGTATCTGCACAGTATATAAATTCAGAAACTGACCTTGTGTACGGTAGTTTTTAAATTATATTAATTGAAAATGAGAGTGATTTTGATTGCTGTTTTATATGCATTAACGGACGATCTTTTCTTTGCTCAYGCTTTACGATATACGTWAGAATGTCGGAGTATTATTTWSGTCTTTCGTAAATATTGCGTAAATGTTGCGTTRCCGTTWATGTGTTATTTCCAGACATTAACGCATCTTAACGCAATAGCAAACCACGCAACACGTAAAGTTTGCGTAAAGATCGCGTTAAGATTGAGCCATCGCTATTTACGCATTGCGTAAATGTTGTGTTAATAATGCGTTAATATTCAATTGTTGTTTCCGGTTATTAACGAATCTTAACGGAACTTAACGCATAAGCCAATCTTAACGCAAAACGTAAAGTTTGCGTTTTGGTTGCGTTAAGGTCATTAAGATATTTCCGCATGTTTCCGCATCATCGTTAAGGACCGTAAAT